TGCTTTTCACATGTCTATATGCATAAGTGTCATGTTTTTATCAAACTAAAGGTTGCCTAATAATCTCTTGAAGCAGATAACGAACCATTTGGACTCGAAGTCCCTTACTTCATTATCGTTGGAGCACCATTTTAGAACCAGAAGTTCCATAATCGCAACATGCATGATATTTGCGATGAAGTTGCTAGCAAAATCTAGTGCTCCCCGTACAATGAAGTACTTGAATAATGATTAACATATCCTCCGGTATCTTCAAGATACAAAGACATGATATTTATGTAAGAAACTGTGATACGGTTTTAATAGGCTACTTGGGTACTGGCTATTTTGTTTGATCCCTGTAATGCCAAGTCCAAACTGGTTATACACTGAATTTTCCTAAATGATCAAAATGAGGACAATAACACTTGTATTGCACAAATGTTAATATGTTATATGAGCTCTAGAAGAGCCATAAGATTATTGTACACTACTATAGAGACAATCCAGAAGATTTGTCCAATCCATCTCTTCAAATTTTGAAATATATGTAGAACTTGAAGATTGTTATCTTCAGGGGGAGACGGGAAGTATATTTACTCGAATCAATTCGGAAGATTGGACGTAAAATCCTGAAGATTAAGTCATAAAAGACTAATAGTTGTGCACTATTTGCAACACAACGGGAAATACATTTACTTGAATCAATCCAGAAGATTGAACGTAAAATCCTGAAGATTAAGTCATAAAAGACTAACAATTGCGCACTATTTGCAACGAATAAATACATAAATATCATGTACTCTTTTCCTCACTAGTTTTCTCCCATTGGGTTTTCTAGTGTGGTTTTTAACGAGGCATGAGTATGATATAGTAATGACAATGAGGAAAAGTTGCAAAATAATCGGTTAAATGGACAAACCCCAAAATCCTGAAGATTATGCGGTTTGCGCCCTGAAGGCTTATGGTTGTACTCTTTTTCCCTTAACTAAATTTTTCCCACAGGGTTTTCTTAAGTTAAGGTTTTTAATGAGGCGACCAAAAACAATATATGTTTTTACATATATCATGTACTCTTTTTCTTCAACTAGGTTTTTCCCACGTGGTTTTCCTAGTGAAGTTTTTAATGAGGCATGAATATATTTTCTATTGTACTCTTTTCTTGTCTAGGTTTTTCCCACCGGATTTTCCTAGCAAGTTTTTAACGAGGCAAGACTATGGAAAAATAATGTCCAAGGGGGAGTGTTATAAATATATATACTTAGTGGACATTATTATGTAACGGACGTAACGGTCCGGTAATTAAGCATACCATTATTGTATCTGTTATACTTGCATTGTATATATACTTACATATGTTGTATTGTTTGGATGCTAGTGAAATGAAACTTACTCTTCCCCCTATCTCTCTATATTATGTTCTTGTTTTAGCTTATACGGAGTACTTTGAATACTATACTCAAATCACCGGTTAGGAGCTAACGGGCACAAACAACATTACAACAGTTTTAACATTGTTGGTGACTGTTGGAGAATTATACTTAAAGTGGAGAGATTTCTTATAGGAACCGACATTTGACTCGATTTGCTGAGTCATTGAGTCACTGTGATTTATATATTCAAAAATATTCAATTGGGCCGGGTGTGGAAGCCATTTGGGCTAGGGATTCAACTTTTTAGGAGAATGAAAAAAGCAATTGGGCTAAGATTATTATTACTGGATAGTTATGCTGTGCATCCGTATGCACCATGCATGGTGTATACGGATGCCAAAACGACGTCGTTTTATTAAAAAACGCGCGTCTCCCTTTTATAAAAAATTCAGGTTCGATTCCCAGCAACAACATTATATTGTTCATTCATTCTGGAATTTTAGTTCATAGATTATGGAATTATAGTTCATTGATTATGGAATTATAGTTCATCGATTATGGAATTGTAGTTCATCGATTCTGAAATTTTAGTTTATAGATTATGGAATTTTAGTTCATTCATTCTGGAATTTTTAGTTCATAGATTAGATTATGGAATTATAGTTCATCGATTATGGAATTTTAGTTCATCGATTATGGAATTTTAGTTCATATGTTGTTGCTGGGAATCGAACCTGATTTTTTTTTTTTAAGGGGAGACGCGCGTTTTATTAAAACGACGTCGTTTTTGCATCCGTATGCACCATGCATGGTGCATACGGATGCACAGCATAATTTGCCATTATTACTCTATTCGTCTCATTTTATGGGTTGAGTTCGACTGAAGTAATTTATAATTTAATTTTTTATAATATTAAGTTTAGATTTAGTATGTTAAATTTATATATTTAGAACTATATTAAAAGTCCTATTAAATACAAAAAAATAAATTTAAAGATCTGAAGAAAATGCTAATAGAAATAAGCAAATAAGAAAGAATTAGTTTGACCAATGGATAGTAAGTAGGACAGATAAAATGTGACAGAGGGAATACTATTATTTTTGTCCACAAAAGGCGAAGGCAAATTATTGTGTGGATCATGGTCTATACAGTGTTGTATGGACCATAACAAAAAGTACATTTTTAATATACTAAATGTACATTATTTTTGTACTGAGTGTACTTTATACAATATAATGTACCCTCAGTACACAAATAATGTACATCCCCTAAATATAATGTGCATTATTTTTGTACTGATTGTACATTATTTTACAGTTATAAAATATGATTCACACAACTAGTATAGACCATGGTCCACACAATAATGATTGAAAAGGCGAACTCTGGGCCGAAAGATAATAAATAGGTAAATTACGATAACTCAATATAATATACTGAGAATTTTAAGAAAAAAAAAAAGAGAGAACATAAAGAGTTGCAGAGAAGAGAGAAATAAGGGTAAGAAGAGTATTGAGAAAATAAGAGAACCAAAGAAGGTTTTTAGAAGATAAATAAGGATTTCATTGATGAAAGCTTGCATAGCCTAAAACAATAGACTACTGTCCTTATTAATAGGTAAGAAAAAAAAAAAAAAAAAAAAAAAAAAAAAAAAAAAAAAAAAAAAACAAGAATGATAGCTGCTGCAACAAACAGTTATAAGTTATAACAACCAAAGCAAAATGCATGTAACAACACAATAAACAATTGAGTTCTACTACATAAACTCTCAAATCATACTCCCTGATGTGGCGGGCAATGATAGGCTACGTTTTCATGTGGGTCCCAAACTCCCAATACAAATGTCTATATCAAGATTGTGTGTGGAGTAAAAATTGGGAATAGAAAATACAAGTACATGTAGTATTTTCTTAAACAATTCATAACCAACATCATTTTGAGCATCTTGTAGCTTCTTCCCAAAATGGCAAGTTAGTTCCTTTATTTCTTGAAATTGTTTCAATAGCGCAATCCATCACACCCAGCAACTTATTAGATGGGAGGATCAGTGCCTAGTGTCCATAAAGACTCACCATATTGAGTGTAACTACACACTGTGGCTGCTAGAACTCGATGTTGTGTCATTACTTACAATTTACCACCTAAGAACCAACTGAGTTGCTTGCGCAGACATTATTATTATATTTTATAACCTATGTTATTGATTTCGCTGAACATTCATGAAAGGAATCAAACTCCCACATTGTCGCTGAGAATAAGTTTTAGATGAGATTCCTCATCTAGTAGACCAATGCTGTAAAACAAATTAAGATTAATTATGTAGTTGGTGGAGGGTTGAACCTTGACAAGAGCAAGTGTGTGATTATTATTTATTTTGATTGGGGTACAACTCAATTGATCAACCAACTTAAAATAATTTGAAAAAGCGTTCAAATTAGCCATCGAATTGAACACGAAAATATAATTAGGTCATTGAGCTCAAAAAATGTACAATAAGATCTCTCAAAGTAGTCAAATTTTATTCAAAATTAAACATATTTCTTTTACCTTGCCCAATGCCATGTATGCATATATACAGGGCCGGGTTTTACCCGTTCTGGTAAATAAATGAGGCCCTACCAAAATCACAAGTTCAAAGTTGGAGTAACACAAGTTTTGAACTTCTGACTTCCAAGTTGAAATTGAAATTGAATTACAATAAACACACATTCTTACTATTTCTTCATGGAATCTTTTAAGTTTGATTGAAAATTTTTAATTTTTATTTCTGAACTAGCTAGATAAAAATTAAATTTTGGCCCCTCTAAAATTTGGGACCCTGTGCTGTAGCCCAACTTGCACATCCCAAAATTCGGCCCTGCATATATATTCCACCAGTGTTTACTTGTGTATATATATATACCTAATATATGTGGCATGTGTATGCGTATAATATACACGTAGTATGATAATTTTTCTGGACATATCATGACAATTTTTTCGAGTCTTAATATTAGAATTGTCTCTTTTTTATATTTTGTAATTTCTTCACACACTTTCGGACTTGAATGATTTCTTGATTCTTAATGCACAGATTTGTTTTGGGCAATGGTGATGTTTTGGGAGACAACAAGATCTAACAAAAAGTAGAGACTCATAGTGTATGAGACTGGAAAAGACAACATGTCACTCATCATCTACCCACCATATTAACACCAAGGATGCTTCCAGCCACGACTATCATATCGAGTGGAGGATTGGACTTTTAACTACAAAACTAAGCCATCAAAGATGTGGGTTCTATAATCTAGCCTACGCCATAAAGAATCTTCATACATACTCTCAACTTTAGGGGGATGGGTACTCGATGGTGAAGCTTCGTGGAACCAACACCTTAGCTTCAAAGGTGAGTTCAATTTTATCAAGGGATACTCGGAATGAATTGGGACCGTACTCAGTATGCATCATAACTTCCTAGAGACCAGAATGATCTACGATGGCATATATACCTCCTTATTCATGTATGACCGCTCAACACATATTATACAAGCGTTTTGCAAAGCGTGGTGCCCCTCATTTTTAAAATTTTAAATATAATGTCACAGGCAGCTTAGTTCAAATTAGATGCATATTTTAGTATGACCAAAAATGTTTTATATATAGTAGTGTAATTATTACTCCGTAATAATCAAAAGATTGGAGAAAATTTCAATAGCAATGGCCAAAGAAAAAAAAAAATTTACAACTCCGTTCAGAGCAGGAGTTGATCTCTTCTATATCTTGATATTGAAGTAATCCGCGTCAAAATGATGTAATCTCACGTACCCGTCTTCGCCACCACTTGAAAAACTATATATACAAAAACAAGACACAAAAGAAACAGAATTTAATTCAAGAATTGCGTGTTTATGCTTTTTATAGTAGCATGCAAAAATATAATTGTAAGATCATCAAAAGAATGTTTTTTGGGGAGTAGTAGTTTAATCAATCATTATTGCGTGCACCTTGGTCCACACCAATGTGTGAAACACGGTCAAAAACACATAAAATACATTATTCTAACTCATAAAATACATTATCTTACCCTAGATATTTCATTATTCTAACACATAAAAGTACATTATACATTATTCTAACTCATAAAGGACATTATCTTAGCCCAGAAATTCCATTATTCTAACACATAAAATACATCATCTTACTCCATAATGTTCATTATTCTAACATGCACGCGAATCATTTTTTTTTATTTTTATTTTTTTAACATCAAAACAACGTCGTTTTAGACAGTGGTTCACATAGCAACAATAATTTGCCCAGTTTAATCATAATCATGCCAATCATTAAAATGATTTTTTTGGTTGTGTTCAAATTCTAAAGAATTGCTTCAAGGGCTACTATAATAGCACGAATATAACCATAGCAATCATAAAAATTAAAATAAAAAACCCAGTATTTCAAGTGATTACATGTTAGCAACAGTTAATTATATCAACTATTAAAAGGAAAATGACAGATAACATAAAATATCACCTTTTTCCATCAGGATTGAAGGCCAAGGCATTAATAGGTCCAAAGTGTCCTTTGACACCACCGATTTCTTCTTGAAGAATCTAAAAAAGAAATAAATTGCAAAATATAAATACAAAGTGTTCAATAAATAGAATTGGTAATATCTGTTTCTACCTTGTCAAAGAATTTGGCCTCAAACTTTCCAGCACGATGATCAGTAGTTGTGACAGCAGACGCATCTTGGCCACCACCTAGCACAATCTACAAAGAAACAAAAAATAGATTCAATTGAATGAACCCCAAATGAACTAGGTTGCCTAGGAAGCCAAAAAAAGTTTAATCAGAATTACTAAAGATAACTAAAACATTTAAATCTGACATTTACTATTCTTTTCTTGCATCTACAGTGGTATATGGTTTATTCAATAACAATCACAACAAAAGCACAAAATGGAAACTATCCTCAACTAAAAAAGAATCACTACAAAGATATTACTGAGCACACTGCAGTTAAAGTAGTTCATAACAACCATGCCAGAGAAAGTGCATCAACAAAGCAAATACAATAAAAAAGAACAGAGGTTCACACAGTTATCATTCAATCCCATAGAAAGCTAAAGCAAATCCGTACAAGGTATAACATACTATGCACATAAGAAATAAGTAAATATTAAGTAGATAAAAACTTACATGATCAAGCAGTGGTGACATTGTAACAGCATTGACAGGACGTTCGGTCACATAGGTCTTAAGAAGTGTCAAATCTCTGATGTTCCAAAGCTGGCATTGCATAGATTAACCAGTAAGAACAAAGAAAACATACCCAGGCCTAGGTAGCAGTAGGTCAGAGTAGAGAGGTTAATGATCAAGTTACCTTCGCTGATTTATCCAAAGAACCAGTGATGAAGTGTGATCCATCTACAGATTTGGACAGTGAAGTAATCCCCTTCTTGTGACCAGATTCCCCATCAGATTCCTTAAGTAGTTTCCCAGTCTGCATAGTATTGAGACAGTCAGAACTCCAGATTTGAGGAAAATTCAGTCAAGAAAATACACAAATTCCAAGTGGCAACTATGTAGCCATAGTAAATTAACCAGAAAAACAAAAAGTAGACAAAAATACAAAAATGCTGCTTGAAATATGATATAATACTAAAGCCTCTCTCCAAGATACTGAAACACATAAGTTTTACCTCAACATCCCAGATTCGAACCACAGAATCTTCTCCGCAGCTTATAATTGTCTTATTCAACGGTCCCCAAACAGCACGGTTGATTCTCCCCTGGATGCCCTTAATCATAAGGGCAGTCTCATCCGTTTCTGCAATAGAAGTAGATGGGTGCTCAGTCTTTATTGATAATGATACCACACAGAAATACAGAATATGTAATTCAGTGTAAATACACAGTGCAAAGATAAAAAACTATCATAATCTTAGTAATTTACCTATGCTAATAATAAGGGTAACAAATCACAAAACCATTATTCACTATTATGTGCAAACGGCCAAAAATTGAAGCAACAATTATCAAGTGCTTTGAAATTCAATACCAGCCTTTTATAAATTCTCTTTTAAGTTTTCCTTTTTTGTTATAATGGCTAAAGATAGAGCATTTATGAAAATTTGATCTAATCAATTTACTCTTCATACACCGCTTAGACATGACAAACATTATACAAAACTTACGGTCGCTGAGGTCTGTAGCAATTCTTTTAACTTGGATTGCAGATGGCTGCCCCATGAATGGATCAGTGGTGATTACTACAAGCTTATCACCAATGGATAAATCCACAGACCTAGCAGGAGACTTAAATTCAAAAGTGAACAGTTGATTGCCAGTCTGAACATCCCAAAGCTTAGCTGACTGGTCAGCACTTCCAGTAATTAGTCTCCTTGAATCACCTATACATAACATTACAATAACAATAAATCAGCCCAAATATAAAATTACTTTCTGCACGTACACAATACATTGCTAATAAACTTCAGTATTTTCCAATAAATCATTAAACTTTCTCGCCCACAGCCAACCTCAAAAGTAGAATTGATAAAAACTTACATACTTTCTGCACGTACACAATACATTGCTAATAAACTTCAGTATTTTCCAATAAATCATTAAACTTTCTCGCCCACAGCCAACCCCAAAAGTAGAATTGATAAAAACTTACATAAGGAACGAAAAAAACACACAAATTTTCATTCTTTAAAGAAGGTAATAATATCACCATGATAGTATATATAAACTGAAATTAAAGGGAAAGCCAGGCATTACGGGAGATGTCACAGCACCAAACAGCGCCATTGTGACCGCGGTAGGTGCCGAGGCGCTCGCCATTGTCGGCATACCAGACTGTAGGGGTATGATCCTTGGCGCAGGAAAAGAGCAAATCACCATCCCTGTTGTACTTGAGAAACGTCAATGGCCTCTCGTGTCCTTTCATCAGTATCGGCCTCATCTTTTCCGTTGTGATTTTCCGATTCGTATGCAGAGAAAACGGAGAACGATCACTGAAAAAACCCTAGTTGCACCCTGCAGCTCAATCGGAAAACTAAACCAAACAACAACGAATGGGAAACAGGCAAAGGAAGTTTATACTGTGCAATTAAATAAAGGTTTTTTTTTATACTCCAAAATTATTTGGTATTCTTTAGTCAATTAAAATATTCTTTATTTTTCAAATAAATTATTTATAGCAAAGACTTTGTAGCCTAGTAGTTTCTCTCCCATATGGAGTAGTATTAATTCTTTGTATTTCAGTAGGATTTGAAAATAGTTATGAACAGATACTGCATTGTAATATGGTCAATAGTACTCAAAAAATAAATAATTTATAATTTTAGTACTCAAATTTTTATGTATAATTGATACATTTGATATAATTTGTAATTATATAATATCTATATAATAATATTAAAAATGTTATAAAAAATTAAATTATAAATAATTTAAATTAAGTCTTATTAATTAAATTAAATGCATCAAAATATAACCAATTAAGTATTTATTTTTTATATTTAAAATTTGAAATTATTTGCAAAGTACTATGTATAAAGTATATATTCATTGCTAACTATTATATAGTGTGATAGCATCTCGATTACCAATCTAAATGTATGATCATTTCTTTGTGTTGAAAATATTTGATAAAGTATAGAACATATACTTTACTTGAGTTATTAAATGATTTTTATAAAATTCTACTAGACTTTTATAAATTGCGTGAGAGTCCATAAAACCTTTATGACAAATATTTATTAATTTTAAAAACTATTTCATATTAAAAAGTCTATAAAAGTTATTAAAACTCTAAATTGAATAAACTTTTTATAACACCTATTGATACATCATTTATAATTTTCTAACAAAAACTTTTATAATATATAATATATATTTTCATAAATATTAAATAAATTTATATATTGCAAAAAGTTAAAAATAAAAACTGGTTGCCACAAAAATAGAGTGCATTGCATTATACATAAAGACAAAATCAATCAATTTTTACTAAATGGTGTAACTAATAAAAATATTTCTTGAATTAATGAAATAAGTAATATTGGGTAATATAATTATTAAAATGTCTAGGAGGAAGTATGAATTAAAATATTTATTTTATTAGTACTTCCTCATTCTAGACATTTTAATAATTATAATGTATTATAGTGGACATCAATAATTGGTAATTAATGTATTATTACAATATAATTTTGTATAAAAATATATTTGTAATTCAAGAAGTACAAAAAATTTGAAAAACATTTTAACCTAATCTAATTATGAATATTAGGTAATTTAACATAATTTTATTATCATTTTTTAAATTTATTTTGCTATGAATAAAGTCTGTTCACACTTCACAACATAATAATTTTTTATGTTGTGAACAATTGTTTAGTATCGAGAATCGTTGTTCTTTGTGGCAGTGAGAATCACTATCGTTCATACTTCATAGTAAGTAAAGAAAGATTTTTTTATTTTTTATTTTACAATTATATATGATAATATGAACATGGAAAAAATTTAAAATCAAAATATATAAGTATTTAAAACAAAAAATTAGTTGTACCACTTTCTTTTTTTGCTCCATCTCTGCCACCCACTTTTACCGCCAACCCGTACGCCCTAGCGGGAGTACAAGCCTTCCCAGTCGTCGGTCGATGGCTAGTTAAAGCTGTCAAAACAGACGCAATCCGTCGAATTGGGCTTATTTAACCTATATTTTAGACGGGCTAGACTGGAGAATTTCCAACCCTCGTTTTCAACTCGACTCGTATAACTCGTGTGGGATACGGGTTGCCCCGTGGGTTACACGGACCAACCTGTATCCCCACCCCCACCCGCACCTCCACCCCACTCTCAAATTTGTTGTTTAATTTGTTTTTATTTTTTTTTATTTATATAGAAAGAGAGGGAGAGAGGGGGGGGGGGGGGGGGGGGGACCCAGAAAATATACAAGGGCTAACAAGGCTAGCTATTTAGTTGATGGGGCCAAAGAGGTACACTGTTAATATCACAGTCGCTATATTATAGACCGCGGTGCATGTGCACCGCGGTAAAAAACGGCGCCGTTTCTTTAAGTAAAGAAACGGCCGCCGTTAGAGTTAACGGAGTCCGCTTGTTTGGTGTATTAAACACCAACTGACACTATAGTATATTTAAACCGACACTGCAGTTATATCAAAATGATACTGTAGTTATAGTGAAATGAAACTGCAGTGTATATAAAATGAAACTGAATAACATTTCACATATTTGAGTGTATATTGTACAATGAAGCTGTAATTATATCAAAATGATCATGTAGTTGTGTTTTAATGAAACTATAGTGTATATAAAATAAAATTAAATAACATTTTCACATATTTGAGTCTATAAATATCGAATGAAACTATAGTTATATCGAAATGAAACTGTAGTTGTGTTGAACTGAAACTGCAGTGTATACAAAATGACACTGAATAACAGAGTTACTTTTTGCAAAAGGGTGCGAAACGGTGGAAACAAACACTGTTTATTTTCATTTAAAAAAAAAGACGCGCGGTGCATAATCGATTATGCACCGGTGCATAATATAATTTGCCGTTAATATCATCATACACTATATCCAGAATCTCCTCTGGAGGATTTTGCAGAACATGCAAGCCTTCCTCAAGATTCTTAGCTCTTATTGCAAGGGCATCGGCAAGACGATTTTGTTCCCGAGCAACTAAGGATATTCTCCAATTATCAAATGAACGAGCCTCACGTATGCATGCAGCTAGCAGATTCTGAACAATATTACTGTGTGTCCAGTGTCCTCCTACTGCTAACCAGATCAGATAGGTCCTTTGAATCAGTTTCAAAGGTGATGTTCTTGAAGCTTAAATGCTTCGCCAGTAGGATACCTTTCAACAATGCCCAAGTCTCAGCTTCTAAGGGGAAACATTTTCCGATGCTATACATGAAACCAGCCAGCCAAGTGCCAGTACTATCTCTAATATAATTATCACACCTCTACAGCCTGCTTTGTTCGACTGGATCGGAGGTCAACAGAACCATCTATATTCATCTTGATCGTACCAACTGGAGGCTTAATCCAACGCATTTGAGTCCATGAGAGGCTGTTATCTGTGCTCCGCACACTTTTGGTCCTAGCAAAAGCCTTAACAACATCATCCATTTGTGATTTGATCCATGCTATTTTGAACGAGATGGTTATTCCACTTAGAGGCTTTTATTCTGCCGGATTCTCCCACCGCTAGATCATAGGCTGAGCTGACTGAGAATTCACCCCATAACTCAAAGCTTCAGCCAATGGTGTCATTGTTCACCTCATCGTCGCTAATGATCACGCCGCGAGCTTCTCCAAGCACTCAACATGGAGCAGATTATCCAACTGATTCCATAGCCACCCATTCTCGGGTCCCAATAGGTAGCAACTGATCTGTAGAGCTCAGGAAGGGATAGCGCAGCAAGTAATTGATCTTTCAATGGGGCAGTCCCTAGCCATTTGTCAATCCAGAACAAGGTATTGGCTCCATTTCTAACTACTTTCTTAAACCCTTTTTGCATAATATGTGTAGATTTGAGAATGCCACTAATATTTTAAAATGTTGTTATTAACAAAACTTGAACCGCTGACCATTTATTTAACTTATCACTACTAACACTAACTATACTAAGAATACATATTGAATTTTTATATAATTATATATCTTTATTTACATCATTCACAAACGTTTTATATATATAATAATAAATTTATTTATTTATTTATTTATTTGTATTACATTTATTTATTACAAGTATTAATTAATACAATTAACTGTATATCTATATAATATTAGTATAAAGTTTATTTATTATACAAATTATATAAAGTTATAAATTATATATTTTTATAAACTTTATAACTTAATAATATTATAATTACAAAATAAAAAATATTATATGTAAACTATATTAGTATTAAATAAAAATTAAATAAATTATAATCATATATTAAAAATTAAAATCTTATCCCATTAAAAATTAAAATCTAATTATGTATGTCTTTGTGTATGTCGATATGTGTATATATATGAGCATTCATTGTATTTGTTCAAAATGTTTAATATGGTTGGTTGGGGGTTCGATTCTTAGGCTATACAACATTAAAAATTTTATTATAATACAAATAATATAAATTAAAAATATAATGGGACGACGGGCTGACCCGTTTAGCCCGTCAGCCCAGCCTACACGGGCTAGGCTGGGACGGTGCAAAAACGGGTCGGACCAATCCGTTTTGACAGCTCTATGGCTAGCCATGCCACTTCCATCATAGCCGGCAAATTATGTTGTGCACCATGCATGGTGCACACGGGTCTAGATTCATAATTTCTATATGAGTTAATACCCAAAATCGTCCTCGACTATAGTGGTTTTTCTCAATTTCGTCCTAAACGACTTTGGTGACCTAATATCGTCCCAGACTTTTGTGTTTCACTCAATTTAGTCCTCCATTTGTTATTCCGTCAAATTGGTGTTAAATTAAGGGACAATTTAGTAATGTCAATATTGATCTCTCTTTACTTTCAACTTGTGAAGTGCGAAATTCCTCTTTCTTGTACGAATTATACCCAGATTTACTCCTCGGACCTGCAAATCAAATTTTATATTCTCAGTTTTAGGAGTAATTCTGGAGTAATTCGTAAAAAAAAAAAAGGATTTCGCAGTTCACATGTCTATGAGTAAAGAGATGCCAATATTAAAATTACTGAATTGTCTATTTATTTAACACCAAATGGACAGAATAACAAATAAAGGACTAAATTGAGCAAAAACACAAAAATCTAGGACTAAATTGAGCGAAACACAAAAATCTGGGACGATATTAGGTCACCAAAGTCGTTTAGGACGAAATTAAGAAAAACCACTATAGTCGAGGACGATTTTGGGTATTAACTCATTTCTATATTGTAAATTCATAATTTTATAAATATATGTTCATAATTATAGAGCTATATGTTCATAATTTTCGATGTTCATATTCTCAATTGTTGAACTCTGTATTCACAAATCACATAACTATATTGAAAAAGTGCCGTGAATCTTGAATGCAAGATTTAACTTAAAACTTTACTTGATTTTTAATTTCAAACAAATTTCGACCGATTAATTTTTGTTATTTAGCAATAATAAATAACAGAAAATAAATACAGTAATTAAATCAAGTACACAGTAATTTGTTACGCAGTTCGAAGCGCTTCTCCTACGTCTGCGGGGCAACCCACGTTTGCCCAATCCACTATAGATGTTCACCGAGGAGTTTTACAATAGAACAATACATTAGGCTCACATCCTTAGCTACCACACTACAAACAACCTTCCTAACATCCAACCTAGACCGAGACGTGCATACCGTGATGACCTTCGAGCGATACTTCAGCTGACTCAGTGCAGACATATAGCTCAGCAGAATTCCTGATGTTATCACATCTTTTCTTGTTTTTATAGTTATTTTGAATCATCTCAGTATTTAAGTTCTTTAATTTTGCTTATTTAATACATATTTTCCTTGCTATTATCATTTAATTATGGTTCACACTTGTTTTGAATGTTTTACGGTGTTTGTTAGTGTTTTTGAACCATTGTAGGTTAATTCTATGAGCAAGGGAAGTTCAAGGATGAGTTTGGAGCAATTTTGGACAAGTCCGGGACCCAGAGGGCTCGACGCGTCGAAAATTTCCAGTAGCATCACAAAACTGAGCCAAAGAGGCTCGACGCGTCGAGAATGACGCGACATGCAAAGTGATTAGCGGCTGCAATGTTTTCCCAATTCAACTTCAATTCCAAATTCCAACTCCAACTTCAATTCTTTATTTAAAATATAGGAATTATAAGTTGAGTCCAATTTTGTACAAGATTCATATTTCATCTCAACTTTGTACCAACTATAAAATCCCTCCTTCCTCAACCCTAAGGGGAGACGGAGAGAATTCAGAGATTCTTGGAGACAAGAAGGAGAGAAATCAAGATCCACAAGTTGTCTTGGAAAGCAAGAAGAAGACTAGGGAGATTTGGGAAAATCGTCTGGTTAATTCTTGTACTCTTTTGATGATTTGTAATTCTTTATTTATATTTGCTATGTATAATTTAGTCATGCTTGGCTAAATTCTTTAGAGATTCTTGGGTAAAAGTGTTTATGAACCTATGTGCCTGAGCTCTCAGTTTCTTTAATATATTATTATTTGGGTTTAATACTTGTGTTGCAATCGTGATAATATTGTTTGATGCTTGTAATTAATGACCATAGTTACTAGCTTCATAGTCATGTTTGTGTCACCAATGGGAGTTGGGGCATAAATTAGGGCACACACGATTGCACCTAATGGTTGGTCCTTGGGAAAGGGGAACTTATTAGGGGAAGTTTATTCTAGATTATTGCTCATCGGGAGATGGTAGTAATTAGGAATAATTGAATGCTGATCTTTGATCTTATTGGGTGTTTAAGCCATGGGAGTGGAAATTCACTAGGAATAGAGATTACGGGAGTAATTCGATTCCACTTTGCATTCCCACACAAATCTTAATTCCAAACTAAATATTGCAAACGATAATTGGCACTAGGTGATTAAATACTTGAATCCCATGAATCTCAACTTCTCTCTAATTGTTTTCAAAATCCTGAACCTCTGTTTTATTTTATTTATTTTATGCCAATCAATCATCTAAGTAATTGTTAGGATTAGCTCTAATGAATAAGTTAGTAACTAGTGCTTGATACAACCACTTCCCTGTGGATCGATAACTCGTACTCCGAGAATTATTTGTTTGCAAATATACTACGCATCAATTCCCAAATATAATATGAATAATTTTCAGATTAATATTATAGCAGCAATTTGGATTTCTCTTCTCAATTAATATTGTGATCAAATCGGCAAGTTTCCACAATGAGCAATCTTCCCTTTTATAGTAATAATCCCTTCACCAAATTAAGCCACGTGAATAGTTTCATCAAATGCTCAAATCATTCGCTGCCACTCATTTATAAATCAAATCCTTATAATTAGCTTGAACCACAATTTGATTGCTGACTTCCTCTTCATATACACAATAATTGTGAGCCACTCAATTAAATACCATAAGATACGAAAAATGGTCCTAGAGCTTTGGCTAACTTAAATCTATTTATTATAAAAATAAATTAGCCAACACAAGATTTTTAATGTGTACAAATTATGTACACTTACAATCTCCCATTTGACAATTTATTTGGCAAAAACTATAGCATCTTATACTTTGGGCAAACAAGAAAAATAAAATAATTTTATTAAAAAACCCTTAGTATATGTGTCATACAATAACCTAAGGTAAGAAAAAAATTACCAAAAGCTCTTATAGACCATGTTCCAACCGTGAACTCACTGTATTAATATAGCTGATAACCAATACATAGATTAGCTAAATAAAAGCTGATCGTCCAATAATAATAAGTTTCACTATTAAGATAACAATAACCATAAACTGATAATAATAACCACAGACTGAAGAGAGATATAATAGTCAGAGATTACCAAATAGAGTACCATTCAAGCCATACCAAAAAATTACCATATGTTGCAGTCATAAGTCAAACCAATACATCAACCACCTAACTACTACTCCCCTTTCTTATGTCCCCCCCTTATTTCATATTCCAAAAAACAATCAGAGATTTACCAAAACAAAACTCCCCCTTTCTTCAAACTTCTCCTTTCCAGAATATATCTCACCCTTAATCCATACTCCCCCTTTTTTGCCAAATATGTGACAAAAGGAGTGGTGAACATCATTAGCGGATCGGTCTAGCGTGCTGACGGGGTGCCCGACCCTCTTTCCCGTAAAATAGCAAGAAACTTGTCCAACATTCATCCATATTGATCAATATTAATTGCCATACACCAAGAAGGTAGTGTTGTCATATTCATTCCATGTTTGCAATTTGTAGAAAAACCATTCAGATATTCTTTATAAAAATCTATCACACAACCAACAACACGAGAGTCTGAATAACATGATAATCCAAAAGATATGATAACCCAAATAATATGGTAACCTGGATAATCTGATAATCCGAAGATTTTCAAGCAAAAAGATAATCTGATATCCAATAATATCCACTAAAGCCAATAAGAGAAACTATATAAAGAGAATCCAATAACTAATACCAGATAGCTTTTGCTTGACGATGAAATAGAGAGAACAACTCCATAATAAGGTATGTGCTTTGTTTGAACCTGCAGAAGTTTAAAAAAATCGAGAGTTCTAGAGCCAGGCACATGCAACTTGCAAACAACTCAGCAAAACACAGACGAACAAAAAAAATAAAAATTCAGGAATTTTCAATTTTCAATTTGAGTCAAACAAAACAAACAGATTAGCAAATAGAACAGTAAGCACATTCAAGTAAAGCATATTCAGAGATTCAATTAAAGCAAAATCAGGCACAGATTCATATACATCAAATTTAGGCACAGATTCATACCAGATAGCACGAGAAACACAAAAAAAAATAAAAAAAATACACACACGGTCATGACCGGACTAAACACATAACACAGAGCAAGATTACAGATAACACTTTTATGGAGCATGCATGTAAATCAATAGGTACATTCACATAAACACATAGCTACGAATATTAATCTACTTGCAGCAAATTTACCATTCAAGCAACCTTAGATAATTCAAAGTTTTAACACAAGAAACACCAACAAAAAGGCATAATCAAAGGACGATCATATCAAAAGCAACAAAAACAACGTAGATAGGACATTTAGTGAACACACGGAAACAGCCAAAAACAAAACGTAAAGAATAATCCAGGCAAATTAAATGATAAGGACACTTTAAAGATAAAGAATAAACGAACAAGTAAAGAAGAAAAAAAATGAAAGATTATATGTACCTGATGATTTAATGAATCCAGAAATACGCGTAAATATATAAACTAGAAGGGATAATTCATGTTAAAAAAGATATACGTATAATATCAAGAAAAGGTCATCTTAGGCACATTTAAAGGAGCAGATACTGAAAACATAAATGACATACAAGAGCAACAAGGGGAAAAAAAACAATCAGGTAAAAAGATAGGAAAAAATAAGATTCCTAGACTAGGTATTAGAGTAATACCAACTAAAGGAGAAGAGATAGAGGTACCAATATCCTGAGTGTTTCGAAGCAGTTAAAGCAGCGAGAGAGTGTTCCTCGTAAACTTCTTCTATCTCCATCGTATCAAAAACAAAACAAAAAAATCAATAATATGTTGGGTTTTATGTACCGGAAAATGTCGCAGTAGCACTGCTTTTTATATTGGCTGATTTGGGAAAAGGAAGGGAATCCTGTGTCGTGTGAATACACTACCTTAAAAGAAAATTGCCGATATAACCAGGTGCTTTCGACTAGTTGCACACAGACTTTCTACGAGATATCGGCCCATGTATTCGCAGTCACAGTAGAACCCGACTTAGAGCTCAGACAGAAGGCTTGGAAAGAATATAAGAATAGAAGAATGTATTGGTGTGTTTAGAGCTCAGGAGGACCAGGGTATTTATAGCTATAGAAATACATGTTCCTCCTCTCTTAGCCATTCAATTTCCACTAAAAGGGGGAGTGGTGGAGATGACCACAATTGTAGCCTTGTAGGAGTTAAACCTCACTCCACAATTTATTGTGGATGGAAATAATCCACACTTATTTGGGTGTTATTCCCAACATCCCCCACACACTCAAACAAGTGTGAATGAAGTAGATGTCTGAGCGGAAGTGAGCGCTGACCTTAATGCCAGTGGTTTAGACCTTGAACTGACACGTAGTGACTAGAGTAACTTTCTCCTTAGTAGTGAATTGAATCTTGAACTAGCAAAGGAGAGGTAGTTTTGAACTCATGTGCACACATCAGCACCCATTATGCAGGTTTTTTGGAAGTCAACTCTTTGAATTGAGGTCTACCTCTATGTAGACCCTAGCTTAGAACATCTCATGTTCAGTTGCTTTACGTAAGCTTGGCTTACTTTGTTCATTTTAAGCCCATTTCCTTTGATGTATCGAGGACGACCTTTCTATTTAGTCCTTTAGTGAGAGGATCTGCAATATTCCTCTCGGACCTCACATACTCCAACGTGAGTACCCCAATCGTAATCAATTGTCTTATAGACTCATGTCTGACTCTTATGTGCCTTCTTTTCCCATTGTAAGCACTATTCTTTGCTACGCATATAGCAGTTTGAGAATCATAGTGTATGGACACAGATAGTGTAGTACACCCCCACAATGGCACGTCTGCCAGTAGGTTTCTTAGCTACTCGACCTCTTGTCCAGCTAGATCAAGTGCTATAA